GTAAGGGGGGCAGGCCCGAGCCCAGCACAGCCTCCCCTGCCCAGCCTCTCCCTCCATTAACGCTCCCGCCGGGTTGATGCTAAAGGCGCTGCAGCGTCCCTGATCATTAACACTGCCAGGGCAGGGTGCCGGTTACCCACCTTACTTCTCCATGAGCCATTCAGACGAGAAGAGTGTTGGCGGGGAAACACTCCACCACCTCCAGGTTGCTAAATGAAACCTGAGCAGCTGTATCTGGATGGTGTCTGGTGCCCGTGCAATAACCTTCCTTTCTCAGAGCACCTGAGAGGAACAAGTGGAGCTGAGCGATGGCCGGTCTGAGCTGTGACTAGGTGCTGCCGTTGCAGAGAGGCTGGCCACAGCGTTGGGCCCTTTTTGACTCTCCTCTGTGCCACTGTCTTGCTGGATATGCAGGTCTCCTTCATTTGTTGTCTCTCTGCTTTTCCCCAGGGGTTCGGTTTTCGGAGTCAATTAGCATTGATGATGTAAAAGCCCTGGCAGCCTTAATGACATACAAATGTGCGGTGGTGGGTAAGTCAGTGAGAGCTGGGAAGGCGCCCGGTGGGCTCTGTCAGTGGGGTGGTGGTGCTCGTGGAATGCCAGACTTCTATCACCTAGGAGAGCTCATGCTGTGCTTTGATAATGAGCCCTGTTCTCAAAGTGCCGCGTGTAACCATGATCGGTGTGTGTTAGCCAAGATGTACTGTGCTATGTAAAGTGCGTGATGATGCCCCCAATCCTCTTGAGTGGTGGGATCAAGGAATTCTGTTCTATCTTGAAAAACTGTGAAAAAACGTGAGTGCTGGAGTGGGAGTAGGTTAACAAGGGCTGGTGTACGTCCACTATCCATTGTTGGAGTGGCAAACTAATTAATGAGCTTGCGCTGTCCAAGGGAGTCTTGAGCAGTGTGAGATGGTATATTTCTGAGGTGCAAGGTTGGGGGCGGGGGTGATTTGCTGATGCGTCTCTCTGTATAATTCATGAGTGGCTCAAGGGAGCCTTCATGCAATTTACCTGGGTGTGGGCTCCATGTGCTGATGGCTGAGTGATAACAGTGCCTGGAGGGGTTGGCTACTTGCCACTGGCGTAGCAATGTGTGAGACAGCCCAGGCTGGCGAGTTAAGGGGGCACAGCAGTCCCACAGTCCCAGGTTGTACCCCGGAGGTCCTGTCACAGGGGTTTCACTCATGAAATACATCTTGTGTCTCCTGGTTGTCACGGAGTCAGTCCTTGCTGGTGGTGATTGTGACAGGTACAGGTTCACTAGCCATTCTTCGTTTAGGACCTGGGCCTTACAGATGTAGTTATGGAGGCAGTGACAGGTTAGTGTGGCATGGGGGTCTGGCCCTGTGCTCTCGTTACCAACCGTACTTCCTGTGCGTTGGGTTAGCTCCCCTTCTGGAGCGATGCCCCAGCAGACTTGGGGCAGTCACTCGCACAGCCCTGCTTCATAACAAAAGGGTGCGTTAGGGCAGGACGTCGGGGTGCCTGTCACTGATCTGGGTGCCTGATGAATTTCAGATGTTCCCTTTGGTGGTGCCATGGCTGGCGTGAAGATTGATCCAAAGAAGTATTCAGTAAGTTGGCATTATTTCCTTTTTATTGTTCACGCTCCATTTGCACGGGATTCCTGCAGCCATTCCTAGCAATGCACTCTGACAAGCGAGGAAGAGGCATTGCTGGGGAGCAGCTCTCTCCAGTGGCTGTGAAAAGCAGCTCTGGGGGAGAAAGAGCTGATGAGCTTTGATTCAGTATGTTCAGCCAGGCGGGTGACAAAAGACACGCTTGCGGGGCTGGGCCTGGGGCTGGGGCTGGAGCTGTACCAGCAGGTGTGTCGGGGCAAGTTGTGAGTTAGAGTTGGGCTGAAGGGCTGGGCAGAGGCGACCAAGCATGCATTCGTTGTCCACGTCAGTCTAACAGGGCGCCCCGGTTCTGTACAGCACCAGTTGCATTAACTCCTGCAGCGCCTCAGCCATGTTCGAAGCTTTGTGGACATCAGAACACGCTGCCCCTGTACAGGCATATGGCCCCTGCTGGCTGCCATACCTCAGGTATTCGCTTTTCTTTCGGGGGCCCCAGTAATGGCTGAATGTTGATGTTCTTGCACAGGAAGGTGAGCTGGAGAAAATAACAAGGCAGTTTACGGTTGAAATGGCCAAGAAGGGATTTATAGGTGAGGCTGGCTCCTTCCCACATTTTCCTCCAGGGCTGTATGAAAAATGACTGCTTTGCAGGTAGGCAAAGGACCCAGCAGAGAACCAAGTGGCTAGTCAGCAGGTGTGCTGGGGCCACTGCTTGTCACGTTGAGCGATATTGTCTTGTTTTCACCTGTCGTACACTTAGACTGCAGAGCGTCCAGGAGAAGACCCGTCTTTTTGTTCTGTGTTCGTACAGCACCTAGCACAGGGGGTCCTGGTCCCTGGCTGGGTTCCTAGGCGATCTGGTCATACAGATAACACAATACCAGACCACTGATTTGTGACCTTTGCGTTCCATCGAGATTCCCCCGGCCTTTTCAGCCAGGGGTGTGTGTGTGGGATCTGAAGCTTCGTAGTTCCTTCTCCCTCGGTGTGTGACACACACGGATCAAGGGAGAGTCGTCACACAGCAAAGAATCTTGGAGTCACCATGGGTGTGTGACGGTTGGGAAGAGTCAGGGCAAAGCCCAGGGGCAGTGAGGCTGTGACTGGAGTGGACCGGAAATGCCATGTTGCAGACGGAAGATCATTAGCTACGTCTAAAGGCAACAGTGCGTTGGGTTCAGCTGGCCTTGTAATCCCCGGGCCCTTCAGAAGTGCAGGTGCTGTGATCTGTTTGAACAAAGAGACCGAATTGAGAAGGAACCAGAATTGACAGATCTGTTCTCCCTGGCAGGGCCTGGAACTGACGTTGCTGCTCCTGACATAAATACAGGGGAAAAGGAGATGTCCTGGATTGCCGACACCTACTCCCGCACTCTCGGCTACAAGGTAATGTTGGCTTGTTCTACGGCAAGCTGAGCAACTGCTGCTTCCTTTGGGAGGTGGTACGTTCCCATGGCTTGTGGGGTGGCCTCCCACTGAGGCTGGGGTGGGGCAGACTAGCTGGGTCTGGTACTAAAATGGGGCTGACAGTAAAGTTGCTTTATCTTTGACTGGGCTGGGCCTGTGGAAAGTCTGAACTCTAATGGGCCTTGTTTTCCCTGGACCAGTCGAGCAAGACGCGGGCTTGACCTTTGCTCTTCTGTTTGGAATTGTAGGATATCAATGCCCATGCCTGTGTGACAGGGAAGCCTATTAGTCAGGGAGGAATCCATGGGCGAGTCTCCGCCACAGGCCGTGGTCTGTTGCATGGGATTGAGAACTACATCAACAACACTCTCTACATGAACCTCGTTGGCCTGAGCCCTGGTTTCCCTGGCAAGACCTTTGCGTTGCAGGTAAGCACTGGGCAGAGCCATAACATTGTAAACTAGGCTTGTTTTCTTGTGGTCTTCACTGTCGCCATCGCTCCGTTCCCAGCAGAATTCAGCTGCTTCGCATCCTCCGTCCATGTCGACAAAGGAGACTTTGTCTTTCAGGCTCAGCTCCAGCAATGCTGCCTGACGTTTATCTCCCAGCCTCCCGTCCGCCGTTGAGAACACAGCCCGTCTCCAGATGGGAAGACAGTTGGCCTCAACAGCTGACCCCCTGCGGCTCTGTGAATTGTGCTGTGGTTTGGTGCAGCGTCCTGTGTTAGCCGTGGAACATCCCAGTGCAGCTTGCTGCACATTTAATACCTTGGGAACAAAGCATGTCGTAGTAGCTGGTTGCATGTTGGTTACACACTAAGGCCAGATGCTCAGAGTTCGGGGCCTGCAGCTATGCCCCTCCCAGGTTCACGTGTCCGGTACCTGCAGAAATAAGCAAGACCCCATGTGCGGGACCAGAGTCTGCTGCAGGAATCCCTACGTTTTGTGATAACCACTACACCAGTGTTAACTTAATAGTAATAACTAATCCCTAGCTTTTATATAATGCTCTTCAGTAAATCTCAGGGCTTTCTCTTTGATTTTCATATGTTCTGCTGCCAGGCACCTCTCATTCCCACGCTCCGCAGCCCGCTCAAACATGCAGCGATGGCTCATGGATGAATCTCCTTCTTCTCTCCATATGAACCAGGGAAGCAGTGGGGCTTGGAGCTAGCTTCAGCGGGTCAGCTCCCTGGCAGCTCTAGCCTCCTGACCCCTGCGCTTGGATTTGTGGAATTGTGCAGAGAGCACGTGCTGTAATCCTGCTTCCCCTTTTGAGGACATCTGCAGTGAAAGATACAGCTACAGCAGGTCCCAGCAGGGCAGGGAGACGGTGAACAAAATACCAGGTGCCCAGCCACAGCAAAATGGTGAATGCTAGAGCAAAAATGGTGAATTTTGCATCTTGGGAATCTGCCATATTATGGAACTATGGAGTCCACAGGTCCCAGTTTCAAATGAATGGGGTGGTTAGCACTTCTTAGAGCTGTTGTTTCAGGCTCTCTGCAGACTCAGGCAGGCAGCAGTTGCAGACTGTAGGTACTCGGACTGCATCGGTTACACTCGGCTCATGTTTTCAAGGCTATCTCGGCAACCATAAGGGCTGGAAACATCTTTTTAAAAAAAAAAAAAGCTGAGATTCTGGAGCATGATTCTGTGGCACGGGGAGAATTCCATGGAATCCGGGAGTTCTCAGGGCTTTGCATGTAAGCCAGGGTCCGATTCTCAGAGGGGAAAAGTACCCACAAGTGCTGTTGAAGTCCGTGGGAGCTTTGGGTGCTAAGCACCTTGGAAAATCAAACATGTTGCATAACTCTGTGCCTCCACCCTGGTGGGTCTGTCTCCAAATCCCCACTGTCTAACCTGAGCCGCTGTAGGGCTGGTGTCCTCAGGTCTCTGTGCTGGGTGAGAGGTGAGGGAAGCCTGATTTAGCCAGATGTGTCTGTGTGCAGTCAACCTGGCAGCTTGCCTTCTCTGCATCTCTCTCCACCTTCCCTGCAGATCCCAGTTCAGGGCCTGCCTTGGAACCATGGTGAAATGCTTCCCTCTTGTGTGTCTCCGATAGCTCTGCCCTCTTCTCCTGGTGCTGCCGACTCACTCCTTGCCAAATGCCGCTACGCTCCGACTCTGCTGATCCAGCTCGGTTGTTTATTTTTCCAAACATTGCCTGCATCAGCCCGGCGTTGTCCTGCTGGATGTCATAGCATTTGTCCTGCCAAATGGCAATGGAGCACTTACAGCTCCTGAGCTCTGGGTTCATCACAGTGGCCTGGAGAGTCCAGTGCTAATGTGCCGACTGCCTCTGGCAGCGTTACTCACGCGCACAGTCCCTCCTCACCCAGTCCTCTGACAAAAAGCTTTCCAGGATGATGAAGCAGCCTGTGGCCGGGGAGCTGAGTCTCCCTAGTCAAAGCTCAGGAAAAGAGCATCTCTGGACTCTGTTGTAGGAAGTTCACTCTGGTCCTGTGATTTCTGTGTCCCGTGGTTGTGTTCCTTCTGAACCGATGTACACAGGCTCTCCTTGTGCCTGACCATATGCAGGTACACCTCTACCCCGATAGAACGCTGTCCTCGGGAGCCAAAAAATCTTACCGCGTTAGAGGTGAAACCGCGTTCTATCGAACTGGCTTTGATCTGCCGGAGTGCGCAGCCTCCTCCCCCCCCAGAGTGCTGCTTTACCGCGTTATATCCGAATTCGTGTTATATCGGGCCGCGTTCTATTGGGGTAGCGGTGTATAAGAGACAAGGTGCGGAAGGTAATGTCTTTTATTGGACCAAGTTCTGCTGGGGAAAGAGACAAGCTTTCAAGCTACACAGAGCCCTTCTGCGGGTCTGGGAAAGGTGCTCCGAGCGGCACAGTTAAAGACGAGGTGGAACAAATTTGCTTTGCATAAATATCAAAGGGGTAGCCATGTTAGTCTGGATCTGTAAAAGCAGCAAAGAGTCCTGTGGCACCTTATAGACTAACATAGTAAGGTTTTTTTTTTTTTTTTTTGCATAAGTAGTTAACACACATTTCAAGAGACGGTTTAAGGTGAAGTGGCCTGTTAACGTCTCCCCAGTCATAGGGGAGAAAGGAGGGGTGGCAGGGTTGAGTGGGTCACAGATTGTTGTAATAAGCCATAAATCCAGTGTCTATTCAGTCCATGAGTTTGTGTCTAGCAGAGTTATGAATTGAAGTTCCCAGGCTCATCTGTTGTGCAGGTTTCCTTTGAGGCTGAGGGTGCAGCTGTGCCGCTGTATGTTTCTAGTGTGAACATAGTCGGCATGTCTTTCGGAGCCTGCTGTGCCCTACCCAAGTGTATGGACAGTGTTGTCAGACTTCCAGGCCTTTCTCTACTCACCACGTTGTGGTACCTAGGAGAGCCTGTCAGCAAGATCACACCGAAGCTGCGTAGCGACTCTGCGGATTGACCCTCCAGTCGCTGATGCCCATCGCTCTCAGACTGCAGGAAGACTGGGGTCCTGAAAACATAACATGCTAAAACTCATGTTCCCATACTCAGTGTTGAATTGGAGAGGTCCCTTCACTTACCGGCACACCCCCTGCTTTACATGGTCCATTCTAGGCAAGGTACTACAGTATTTTACTAATACCACAAATGCAAACGCGCGGTAGCCTATGTGCAGGAGCGAAACGGGCATGGTCAGACCTAGCATCTGTACTGCCAAGCAGGGATGGGGTTGTTCTGGAGGAGCTGCTGAGGTCTGGTTGGAATACATTTGTCATGTTTTAATCAACAACTGAGGAAGGTGTGGCTCACCTGTATTGCAATTGGTCCTGCTTTGAGCAGGGGGTTGGACTAGATGACCTCTTGAGGTCCCTTCCAACCCTGATATTCTATGATTCTATGATTCATTTAGCACCCTGAGGTTTCTGGGCTGGAATTTGGTGGGTGATGAATCTGAAAAGACAGGGTTGGTCATTAGGCTGTTGTTCCTGGGGTGTTCTAAGCCTGGTCTCTTTCACATTCAGCTGACAGTTGTGACAGCTGCACTGTGTCCATTTGCGTCCAGGGCATGGGTGTGTCTAGCTGTGTGACAAGCACACGCCCGTTTCTTCAGCGTCTGAAATGAAGGGCTTTGTGCAGGGTGACTACCTGTATGGGAGTGCTGCTGGGCGGGGAACGGGCTGCTGCTGGACATTGGTTTTTCTTCCCTAATTACTCATTACTAATGGAGCTCCCTTTCCGTGGGACTTGAAGCTGGCTGTCTCCCAGCTGCTGCTTCAGTTCAAGAGAAATATGCTGTGACCTATGAGATTCTGTGCCTCGGGCCACAGGACTCCGCCAGCCGAGCTGAGATTGTACAAGGAAGTGATGGCTCCAGGAGTCACCTCTATTGAATTAGCTATTCTGAGCAATCTCCAAAGGGATCGTGAACACTTTCTAATTAACTTACTGGGCTAATGGAGCAGAGGAGAGGAGAGGCCCTTGGCTGCTTCACCTTTATAGTTTTTCTGTGGAAGTTGTTTTTGCTAAATAAAAAATTGGTTTTCAGCTTTGCTTCAAGAACCTGATCCTGGCCAGCAGCTGAGCTAGGATCCGGGGGCGGGGGGGAAGACACCTGCCTTAAGGGGAAGAACATAAGAACGGCCGTACCGGGTCAGACCAAAGGTCCATCTAGCCCAGTATCCTGTCTGCTGACAGTGGCCAATGCCAGGTGCCCTAGTGGGAATGAAGATAACAGGGAATCACTGAGTGACCCATCCCCTGTTTCCCCTTCCCAGCTTCTGGCAAACAGGGGCTGGAGACCGCATCCCGGTGCATCCTTGCTAATAGCCAAGAACCTCACCATTACGAGGTCTCCCTTACCTGCAAGAATTCTTCCTCCCTCTGGTTTCTTGGAAGTTAATTGAACCAGCATAGGAGGATAAAAGATCTGCCTAACCTTCAGCTAATGTCTAGCCTGCCTTGACCATCCAGGGGGAAAGCCCATTGCAGGAGTTGGTCTGGGTCCATTTTCTGGTAAAATAGAACACTCTAGCTTCCTGCTGAGGAGTGCAATGAGTGCAAATCGGGGAAGTGATTGTAAACGCCTAGGCTGCTGCGTGACTGGTCCCTTCACCCACCATGGGGCACCTACAGTGCCAGAACTTGCTGAGTAGCCATCAGCCCTCCAAAGACTGAGTCTCATTAATGGAATCTCGTTAGCCCACACGGTCCAGAGTGCCCTTGCCACTGGCTCCCATGAGATGGCTGCTAGGCATTTCCAAAGCGAGTAGTGCCCAGCTCCAAACACCTTAAAGGGCCCCAGTGTGGAAATCCCAGTGTGTTTGGATTCCCCCACTTAGCGGCTCTCTGACCTCTTTTCTTGTAGGGCTTTGGCAACACGGGCCTGCACACCATGAGGTACCTGCACCGCCACGGAGCATGCTGTGTGTGTGTCGGGGAGGTGGATGGTGCTATTTACAATTCCAGTGGGATCCATCCCAAGGAACTACAAGATTATAAGATGGTAGGTTCAATCCAGACCCACAAAAATGTGGTCTTAATGGGCAGGGGGGGAGTGTCCAGCCTAGTTTGAGATGCAGAAGAAATGTGGGGCGTGGGCTGCTCCTCTCCTCTCCTCTCTAGATTATGGCTCAGGCGTCTACAAAGGCCAGCACAAGCCAGCCATGGCAGGGTGCTGTGGTGCAGCTGTGAGCCACTTGTAGAATAAGTAAATATACCTATCTCCTAGAACTGGAAGGGACCCCGAAAGGTCATCGAGTCCAGCCCCCTGCCTTCACTAGCAGGAGCAAGTAGTGATTTGTGCCCCAGATCCCTAAGTGGCCCCCTCAAGGATTGAACTCACAACCCTGAGTTTAGCAGGCCAGTGCTCAAACCACTGAGCTATCCCTCCCCCCAGAGGAGCTGCTGGCTTTGCAGGCCTGGCTGGACACTGCTGAATTGTCCCTGGCGTTCCAGGAACATGGCACTATCGTCGGCTTTCCAAAAGCAGAGCCTTACGAAGGCAGCGTCCTGGAAGTACCTTGTGACATCCTCATCCCAGCTGCTATCGAGAAGCAGCTCACGAAGGAGAACGCGCATCGGGTCCAAGCCAAGGTACGCAGTGCAAAGAACGCTCTCCCATGCAGGAGAGCCCGAATTAATGGGAGCTGCCCCAGGTACCGGGGAGCAGAATTTGGCCCTCCGTATATAAACGACCCAGTTTAGACTCACTGTCAACACGCAGCGTGCAGCACCTTGCACTCTGAGCCGGCCCTTCCTCGCTGCGATTGTGCAGAGGGAATATGGGCAGATGGGTTCATTTGAATACAGATAAGCATTCCCATGGTGCTGGAGCATGAGGCAGAGGTGATGAGTCACTGTTACGGCGTCCAGGCACCGGCTGCCATGGTCAAAGTTCCTTATGGAAACCCGAGTGGAATCAAGCGTGTGCGGTGAGTCAACCCCTCACGTCTCACTGTGCTGGGAGGGAGTGGGGAGCTGGTAGAGCAGCCTCTCCGCAACTAACCCTCAGCCCCAGTTCAGACATTAGGGCACTGCCAGAGGGCGAGAAAAGGGTCAGGAAACCACAGGTGGGGAGAGACATTTCGGAGGGGGAAGGAGATCCGTATCCCCTGCACATGGAGGTCTTGTCACTCTCCACTAGGCAACAAAACAAATGCAGGACGTCGGGGTAGCCCAAGCATGGGCCTGCTGGCCAGGTGCAGCCCATGGAGACGCCAGGTCCCAGCAGGCATGATCTCCATGTGGCTCACGGTGGAGCAGGTCGCTCTAGGCCCTAGGTCTGCAGTTGTCTTTACTGTACACAAACTCTGGGCAGCCCTCAGGTTCTGGTCAGTTACCAATCTGGTCTGCTGGTGGCGCAGCCTGAGCAGCCCCCGCAGTAGCTGCCTGCTGGTGCTCAGTGCCCTTGGGAAGGGCTGCTAGAAATAACCTTTGTTGAGAGGCGGGAACAAGGTCATCGCGACTGCAGCCCCGTGTCCACCTCCTCTGGGCATTGGCTGCCTTGTGCCTCCATTTGTGCTTCACAGATTATCGCCGAAGCTGCCAACGGCCCCACCACACCAGCAGCCCATGAGATCTTCCTGCAGAGAAATATCCTCGTCATCCCGGTACGGCCGACGCCTCTTCACCCCGCCCCCTGCGAGTCAGCCCAGGATGCGGTGTAGACAGGCGGGAGAGCTTTCCTCTGCTCTCCCTGGGCCCACGGTGGTCCCTGCTCAGCCCTGATGCTCTAGCAAGGCAGGGTTGAGCAGACTTCCCCTCCCTTTGCCAGAGCCGGGGCAGTGGCTGAGAGCTGTCAGATGGACATGATGCTGTGGGGCCAAATCCAGCTGTGGCGCACAAGCGGGGCTCGGTGGGAGGGTGGGCAGCGTACGCCGATTCGGAAGAGTGGC